TGATCGGTGACCGATCGATCGGCACACCTCTAGTTATAAGGCGCCTTTTTTTAAGTGTATGTAAGTACAGTGTGCACAGCTCAGGTAAGAATGTTTGAATCACCACAGAGAGCGTTTAAATTACTGAGTATGGTGCTGGTTTGCTAGGTCTTCAAGATCCCACTGAATTATTTATCTTAAATTCATCCTCGTCTGATAAATCATCTCAATCACAACTTCAAACTAAAAACTGCAGAGTTTGCCGTCAGTTCTTCTTGTCTGGTTGGTCTTTGATAGTTTGGTTTTCCCAACATCAGCGTTCTGCAGAAACTCTCTGACTTCTTTCTCTCTTTCCTTTCTTCCTCATTCTCTCTCTCTCCTTTTCTCTTTCCTTCTATATTCCTTCTCTCCTTATTCTTGCTTCCTCAGTTCTTTCTTTGAATCTTGATTCTCTCTTTCCTTCCTTCTTCTTTTCTTTCATTAATTCCTTCTTCATTCTCTCTTTCATATTCTCTCTCTCCCTTCCCATTTTCTTCCTGTCTCTCCTTACCAGTAACTGGGAGCTACCAGCTTAAACAGACTCTGAACAGGAAATCCATTAAAAACTTCGACACACTCGTGTATTTATCTGTCAAGACAGAATAATTCATCCATGGCAGGAGCGACAGATCCATAATTAAAACCACAGAATGACGTGAAAATTCAAATTTCCTGAAAACAAGGAAGTGTTCTGGTACATGAGCTGCAACAGCGGCGGTGTTGTTCCCGCCTACAGGTGATTATTCTCGCACCCATTAGCAGCGTTGCTGCGTCATCGCTACCAGCCTGACAACCTCAGCTGAGCAAACAAAAAATGTGTTTACTCGAGTTACATGACATTAACTTCCAGACAGCTGGATGAATCAGGATTAAATCAGGAGGAGCATTCCTTCACAGTTCGCGATTAACTGGCTGGTATTTTAGTAATTTGTTATTCTGATGATTAATCGATTAATCGGATAAAAAAAAGGAACTTTGTACTGATTTTTCATTTATCCACTTTAGTCCATTTTATGAAATATTAGAAATATGGGTAACACTTTATTTGAAGGGGGGTGAATAAGACTGTCATGACACTGTCATAAACATTACATAACACCTGTCATGAACATGAATAAGCCTTCATGAATATTTATGACTGTTGTCATAAAGCGTCATTCGGTAAAATGACACTTTTAATACAAAGTTGACATTATTCAAAATGTCTTTGTTATGACAACTTGACATTAACCAAGAAATCATTACTGTTTAAGCTTTACCTTTAATAACATAAAGATACCTAATTTTAAAGTGCAATCAGTAATAATTTTATAACAAATTTATATCAGTATATATATATATATATATATATATATATATATATATATATATATATATATATATATATATATATATATATTTCCCGTCTCATTCCCATCGGTTACTGTTTGCTGACGCCATTGTGATTACAGATCAGATAAAACACAAAGAATTACAGAAAAATATATATATTATTTTGTACAGTTTTGATTTTATTATTGCTCTGAATATGTTGTTCTTTCAGCCCTTTTTAGAGTCTGACACTCCAATTAATTGATTACTAAATTAGTTGATGATTATTTCAGCAATTGATTAATCACGATTAACCCAATTAATCGCTCTAGCCCTAAAAAAGAACATCTGCAAATGAAGCATGAATAAGAAAAGCACAAGCTGAGCATGTTTACTTTCTCGTAGTATTAAACAATCATATTTAATAAGACTTTAGTACAAACTATTTACACAAAGCTATATAAAAAGCATTTCTGTGAAGCCTTGAAATATGCATACATGCGGCAAAAAAATCCCCCCCAAAAAATAATGTTGCCATAGGTAATAAAATTACTTTGGTGTTTTGGGAGAACGATGTTCATGGTCTTTGTAAAAATAAAGTATTACAGATTGAAACCAGGAGGATTCCTTCACAGACTGAGTGTGTTCATGCTTCACTGACCGGTGTTTGGAAACAGCAGTAGAGCTGCGTGAGGTACGGGTGGCAGCGGGCCAGAGACAGAACCCGCTTCTCCGTCATGGTGCACTCCACATCGTCGTCCTGCAGGATGATGTCCTTCTTCAGCACCTTGATGGCGAAGACGTGATCTTTGCTGTTTAGTTTCGCCAGCATCACCTGCAGAAACCACGTAGTGACAGTACAGACATGAAACGGGCAATTTGTCAACTGCTGCATACCGTCAGCAGCTTTGAGCAATTACAATTAAACTTCTTAAGATTTAAAAAGACGATTTTGTTGGGGCAAAATAAATATATATTAAGTTTTATTGATATTACGCTTCATTAGCAATGAAACGATTAATAGATAATAGGAACAAATGTCCACTACTTTGGTAACCGATTAATCGTTAACTGGAGTATCAGATAGCGATTAATCGTCAACATGTTTACGGTATTTATATGAAGCAAACAAATTCTCTGTCTTATCTGGTCAATCAGTTTAATTTTATTGGATTTCTGCAACTTTGAGTAATTATAATTAATCTTTAGATTTAAAAGGACAACTTTGTTGGGGCAAAATAACTATATATTTTTTGTTATTGCACTTCATTAGCGCTGAAACGATTAATCAAATTAATCGTGATGAATCAATTATTGAAACTATTGTAGTTTCAATAATTAGCTTGAGAAACAGTTTTTTTATATTACACTTTATAAGGACTAAAACATTATTCTGATTAGTCGGACTATTTGTGATTCATTATGATTAATTGATTATTAAAATAATTGTTGACTAATTTAGTAATTAAATAATCATAACAGACTCTAAAAAGGCCCTTTGGTGACAGAGTAACACACTCAGTGCAGTAATTAAAGAAAAACTGGACCATGAAAATACATTTTGCATTTAAAATGCTAAAACATATAAATAGACTGAGATATTTTTTTATTTCAAATGAGAAATGTAAATTTATTTTGTACAGTTTTGGTTTTATTACTACTCTGAATATGTTGTTCTTTTAGCAAACAGTCTTTTTCAAGAGTCTGTATGCTCCAGTTAATGATTATCTCAATAACCAATTAATCTGATTAATTCTTTGAACCCTATGACATAACTGCAAATAAAGCATCAATAAGAAAAGCACAACCTCAGCATGTTTGCTTTCTTACAGTATTAAACAATTGCATCCAATAAGACTTCAGTGCAAACTTAATTGCAGCTGCAGATCTAACTCTGGCGATTATGTGGAGCCTTGAAATATCCACTCTGCATAAATACTGGCTAAAAATATGCATGCAGAACCCATAAAAATATGTTGCTGTGGGCAATAAAACAATGTTCCGTTTGTATTTGTGAAAGAAACTTGTGCCATCTTAAAAGCTCTGGTTTTTTTCTCCCATATCGCTCGAAGTCGTTCCCACCTTGCCGAAGCTTCCTTTGCCGAGAACCTGAAGGAAGGTAAAATCTGAGATCCCCAGCCGCGGGGTCTCCGGCTGAGCCTCTGTGGTCGTACTCTCCGTTCTCTCGGACGGCTGCCTCCTCGGCTCTTTAACCTGCTGGAAAAGGTCGACACGTTCACAGAGATCCAGAGGTTATCCAGAGTAATGTGAGAAAAGTCTTTCTACCATCGTGTTTCGCTTGGAGAGTCCTCCGGCCTGCAGACCCATCTCTGCTAGCTTGTTAGCCAGCTCCACGCTGTTGACGCCGCAGCTTGGGGCGACGTTGCCTTTGCAGCGGATGTGAACATTCATTTTACAAACTGAAAACAGGAGGATAAATATATGAATTAGACAAACCAAAAGATAAATGAGATCCCGACTTTTAGGTTTGCTGTACTTTTGCAGTGCAGGCCCTGCCGAACTATTCCCCACAGCAGGGAACCACAGTGGTCACAGAAGGTGGGAGACTTGTAGGTGTGAATGTTGAACTTGTGAGGGACGTTGATGCTGAAACCTTGAGTTGCATCCTGCAAGAAAACAACAGAGACCGTAAATTAATCAGTACAGGTCAGATTAGTTAAATAAAGTAAGTTAGACGAGCAGGAAAACACTTTGGAGCTAATTTAACGCTGTGAACTTGAAACGAGAAAATGCAACAAAGCTGCAACTTTCTGATTGATGTCTTGAGGTTTTCGTTCGAAACGACCACAACATGTTCTCTGCTTAATCTATCTTCTGAGTTGCACCAGCAAAAAAGTTTGCCTAACATGATACTGCCAGTGGAGATGGTGTCTAAAACCTTTCCGATTTTTGGGGGGAAAACACTAAACATTTTGTTTCTTCTAAAATAAAAGGCCTCTGAAGACGTGATTTCCAGATCTTCTTCCTTTAAGTTCATATCGGTACGGATAATGGCTCTTACCAGCTTTCATCAGCATCTTCACAAAGTTTTGCTTTGTTCTGGGTTAGATTCACACATTTTGCAACAATGAGCATCAAATTTTGCCCAAGGATGAACCAGAGTTATGAAAGTCTGCATCTGTCTTCCTGCTAACCGTTTTCCCATGTCACACAAAGAAGTAGCGTGTTTGAATCTTTAACGCAAATGATGTGAACAACATCTTGGATTTTGTAGATGTTTATAAACACTTTTATTGTATGTAATACTTTGATTTTGAAGAAAATCATAAAACAACTCCGTAGAAAAATCTCTCCTAATTATATCATTTATCAACAGAAAGAAGTTTGGCAATCCTCATTGACTTAACACAGAAAGAAACAGTTTAATTTAATGTGAAAGAACAAGAAGTGTATGTAAATATTGAGTTTTAAGTGTGTTGGGACTCCTGGTTTAAATGTGTAATAATTTAAATGAGAGTTCAGATTACTGAGGATGGTGCCGGTTTGATAGTTGTTCAGGCTGCTGCTCTCAGATAATATTTCTCTGAACTTCCTCATCCTAATTTGATACATCGGCATTTAAAACTCCACTTCTGACACTGCAGACTTTGCTATCACTACTTTTTGGCTTATGCAAAGTTTGGTGTTTCAACAGCATTCTTCAACAGGTTTTCTTTCCTTCTACTTCTGTTTCCTTCTTCCTTTCTCTAATGCATGCCTTTTATGGTGCTACTTGTCATTTTAATATTTCAGCAGTCTTTGTGTCTTTGCTTCATTTGCTCAGGATTAACCAAAAACAGGAGAAACTTTTGCTTTTGTACAAAATGCAGATCACTAGTGAGTATCTGTAGAGATGTAAATACATGAGCAGCTCATGTGGGAAAGTTTAGCGAAGTGCGTCGTTCTGGCTCAGTGGTAGACTCAGACAGAAACAGGAAGCTGTAAAGGCTGCTGATCTCTGCAGGTGCTGAGTGGGTGAACTTGCATGTGTGCGAGTGGGCTGCTATTTTAGGGCTTTCTGAATTAACGCAAAAAGTTCCTTAAAGTTGTGTGAAAATGAAGAGAAAAGAGGCAGAAACAAGCAGGCGTTACCTTCTCTTTGGTTGATTTCTTCATGCGTGGACACACAGTGACAACCAGCTGGTGGCACCGCTTATGAACTACACACGTACACACTGAAAACACACACAGGGTTACAGTCGCTTCTGCAGCGGATGACCAACAGTCGAACAAAGAGGACAGCCAGTCTGCACACCTTGACACTGGTAACCTTGTTTTCCGAACACACCCCTGCAACAGAGGAGAGGAAACGGTCAGATCTCCTTCAGACAGTTCCGGCTTCGCTCCGGCTTGGTTTCGGCGGGTCGGACTCACCAGATGAACTCCTTGCAGTGGAAGCAGAAGGTGGGCTGACGGAGGAAAGTGGACATGAACTTGTGCCCGTTGACCTGGTGGATCCGTCGCCTCACGGCGCCCTGCCGCTCCCTCGTAAACTGCTTGTGGGTGTTTTCCTTCGTTACGGCGACATCTGCAACGAGACCGGAGGATCGTTTGGGATCAAATAATGGAAAACGCATCAAAACGCCATCCTTAAAGGGGAAAAATTCACATTTAGCATGTTTTTGTATTTCCATTTCGGTCTCTACTGGTTCTAAAAAAATCACCCCCTGTTTTTTTTTTAGCAATTATTTAATGTTTTATGTTGTCTATAAAAACCTTTGGAATGCAATGCAACACTGCGCGTAACCTAGCAACCCCGCAACCCCGTCCCACCACCCGCAGGTGGGTAGTCGCCAAAAGTTTTACTCAAGTAAAAGTAAAAAAGTATTTAGTGAAATGTCTAATCAAGTACTGGTTAACTGATCCAATTATCATTTAATATTTAAAAATTACATCATCATATGGCCCAAAATATGAAGTCAATTGGAAATGTTGGTATTTTAAGGACCGAAGTGACAATAATATGTCACTGTGCAATGGCTGCTGGAAAGGAAAAGTGTTTTTTGTTGTTGACTTTCCATCCAGAAACCACTTGCTGCATCCTTGTTGGGTGTGCAGGAGGCTCTACTACTGATTTTCAAACATGTACGGTTGTATAATAGCAGCCATTCTCATGGTTAAACGTTGAGGTGAGCGGGGCGTTTCCAGCTGCAGTTAATTTGGATTTAAGATGACAAGATGCACTAAAGCAGCTCATTCTGAACTGATCAGACTAAAATCTCATTATATAAGAATGATTTTGTGTAAAAAATGTGAAAAAATGTCCCCTTTTAGTGTCTCAGCCATAGAAACAGGTTGATTTGTAGTTCAGTTAGGTTGTTCTGCTTTGTGTTGTTGCTTGTTTGGATTTAGGATTGTTCAGTAACGCTCTAACTGTGCACCAACTTCCTAAAATGTAAACAAACTAAACAATAATCAGACAGCCGTCATATGAGGATTTGGTTTCCTACCAACGCACCGTGAACTCCCATCTGATGTCACGTTTTATTTTTGTAACATGTATTTTATTATTTTTGGATCCTACACAGCTGTTTAACAGTAACTAGTATGTCAGTGTAAATGACTATATCGTTGTTTTAAGACTATTTTCCAGTGATGTATTTATAATGGCATAATACTGCAGGTTCGCCCTGTGAGACACCAGAACTGGGAGATATTTTAAATATTCAAAGTAAAACAACAGAAATAAACTGTAAATAAAATGGATTCTGAAGTCTAAACAGGATAGTCCATCAAAAAGTAAAATAATCAGAATGGAAATGATTGATTTCTTTTTCATTCATTAACTGATTAACTCCAACACGCTCAGGCCAGAGATGAAACACACAGACTGTGTGCAACATTCTACATTTTTCCACCATTAGTAAAACATTTTGAACATTTCAGTGCAAAACGTTTAAATAAAGTTTTGTTTCGCTTTTGATCCACTCCCATTCTGAAGAGGGAGTGAATATTGGGAATTTAATCCACCAAGTCATGACCAGGTGTGCCACGTTTTCCTCTCATTTATGCACATTTTTGATGTTTAATGACTGAATGGAAGTGAAATTTATATTATTTTTTTCACTTGTAGTTAATATGTGATCATCCCCTAAAGCAGGGAGTCAAACTCATTTTCATTTTGGGCCAAAACTAAAATCTGAATGTTCTTAAACGGCCGGTTGTGACAGAATGTGTTGATAAAACCCATTTATCTGCTAAAATATCTATAAATAGTGTTTCTTTAAATTAAATAATATTGAAAATCTTTTCTACTGATCAGCCCCTCCAAGATTTCATGATTGTCTTTGTGTTTATTTTGTAATCAAAAATCACAGATTTTCTGGTGCTAATTTAGAAATAATTGTAAGAACTTTTACAATATTTGTGCTAATATATGATACTAAATATGGCTTTTTATTAATCACTGTCCTGGTCACAGATATGACTTGACATCAAGGCTGAGGTAGTCGTCCCTTAAACCCAATGTTTGTGGCCAATTTTGAGAAACAATTTCAGTGAAATCAGAAATCTGTCGATTTTGTGAGAATTTTGCAGATTAGTGATGAACAGTGGGGAATCATTGATGTAATTTTGAGTCTTGAGGGTCACATAAAAAGCTTCGGGGGCCAAATTTGGATCGCAGGCCTTGAGTTTGACACATGATCCCTAAAATTAGTGCCTTAATTTATTTTCTCTGTTTTAAACATTAAGTTGTGTTTTTTAAATACTTCCTGGTCACATTTAGACTGGAAAGTGGAGGTTAAACACACCTCTTAGGTGTTGGTGATGTTGGACACAAACCGGGTCAAAGAACTGATTCGTAATGTTGTTTATAGATGAAACATAATCAGTTCTGTTCGCGGTGTTCTGACCTATTTAAACTTAAAATAAAAGACAGCCATTTAGAGTTATTATAAAGCTAATCCAACTTTGTGCTAATGCTGAAGAAAGAGTTTTAATGAATAAAATGAAACATTTTTTTTGTTGAATAACTTCAGCAGCAATTTACGATAAACTTGTAGACTAGGAGTGCAAACGTTTTGCTTTTCTGACATGTCAGGTGAAGATGTCACCTGGACATCTTCACCTGGTTCCAAACAGTAAAGGGATTCAGGCAAAACAATTATAAAATGCATCATTTGGTGAAAGGAACTTTAAGTACGTGTGAATTGTTTGACTTGCATGGTTTCTTTAATATTTGCATTTCTTCCACTGAGCAGTGAGTTGTGTAAGTATAGCAGAGAGAAGAAAACCACATGAGCTACGGAAACTTACATGCTGAGCCCACACTCTGGCCTGCGAATAAAAGCTGTGATACTCTGAAGAGTGTTAATTTCAGCATAAGTAAACTGCAACAAGTGCTTTCTGGATGATAAGTCAACAACAATGAAAATGTGTCTTCTCCAGCAGCCACTGTACAGCGCATACAGCAATAAAGCCAGCTGACCAAACGCGCTGCAGCTCAGTTTTGGTTGCTAGGTAACAGTGCAGTGTTGCATTACTTTCCGGAGGTTTCTTGGGACAACACAAAACATTAATTTATTGCCAAAAAACATCTGGATAATTTTTTAAGCACTTCGGAGGTTTTTAGAAGAAGTTGGGACTTAAATGGATAAAAATGTTCGAAATGTTAATTCTGCATAAAGGTCTCCTTTAAAGATGCTGACATTTCAAGCACAAAAGTGGATTTATTGCATCAGACGAGGTCTTTGCATCAGTAGACGTACATAAATAGATTCTGCCCGTTTACGGTAAGTAGCTTTTCTTTTTAAAGCCTGGCACTACTTTTTTTTCCACCGGTAGTTCATTTTTCTAATTTTGAAAGCGCACACTTCACAATATGTTAATATGTAATAAAATGCATGAAAAATATTCAAAAATTCAAGAATAAAACTACAAAAAACCTTTAAAAATGGTTGAAGAAATAAGAAAGAAAGCCTGGCTCATTGGGCTAAAATTATTTTTAAACCTGCAACATGTTCATTAGATATTTTTAGGACACTTTAGATTTAGTTTATTTTTTAAAGTTCAAACCAAGCAAGGCATCAGCAGAAAACAGAAGAAAAAGTTCTACTTAGTAAGTATGAGAATAAAAACCCAGAGACATGGTGCAACACATCAGCATGCAGCCTCAACTTCTCCTTTATCATGGCAGCAAGTCACTTCCACCCCTCTGATCCAAAATGCTGTTTCATGATGACCAAGTCAATTCAGTTTGTGTGCAAAAGCTTCGAAGTGTTGTGGAAAGTTAGCTGGCAGCTGACACAAATTAGCTCTCAGCTAACAGAGTCACACAGTGGCGCCTGCATGAATGCATTCAGAAGATGCTCGCTGTGACGCCAAAAATTAGAAGTAAAGTCATCGCCCTACCGTCGGTGAACGATCCAGTGAGCGTAATCAGGACGTAAACCTTGCCCTCTGGCTCCAAGTCCATCTGCAGACACATAGACACACAACGTTGTTTTTTATGAACGCACCAGCAGGAAATGGAAACACAAAATTAACATTTGGCCCGACTACAGAAGAATTTATTATCAGAAAGTATTTAATTTACAACAAAGATGTTATGTTCTCTAGAAAAACGAATCAATCAGTTACAGTAGCAGAGACAGAATGCTAATGCTAATGCTTCAGGATGCCATTAGCATCCCTCTGAAGGACTTTGGGCGGCCCAAAGGGAACAAATCCGGCCTTCAAGCATTAGTGGTTGATACAGATGATGAACACTTTCAACATTTTTAAAAAATAAATAAATAGCATCATCTTTAAAAAATAAAACTCCCATTTATCAACAAGGTTTTTACATTCACCTTAATTTTCGAGTAACTAGAAAAACACTAATGATTGTTTTTCATACAAGTAAACAATGATTTATACATCCACTTTTATGAAATTGTTTAGTTTATTATTGAGCAACTAAAAATAAAAGAAGGCACCAAAAGCTTGTTTTAAAAATGTTATATTGAAAAAAAGAAAAAGTAAACTTTTTGTGTTTTCAACTTAACAATTTTGACCCTCATGGTGAAAAGTTTGAACTAAACCAGAAACTAAACCAGAAACACTTGGTAAGATTTAATTTTTTAATTGTACTCTGACTTGAGTACAATATTTGGCGACTCTACCCAGAGCATAGCTTTCATTCCTTTCAGACTACATAACACTGAAAGAATCTGACGGACCTTACAGGAAGGCGGTCCGACGGGCCCAGCCAGTTGAGTCGCAACTTATTTCATAAGCTGCAATACGTAAACATCAAAGAAACTTTTAAAGATGGACACCGCCTGTCTGTCAAGCAGGCAGGCGGGGGAACAGATACTTCCTGCCGAAACCACCGAGTGGAAACTCAGGTCACTGAAGTAAGATCTATTTATGTTCGATACACCCTTCCTGGAAAAACCTGACAGGGCACAAACAGAGCCACGTGGAGCAAGAAGGCAACCGACAGGCTTAATGTAAAAACGTGTTTTCACTTCAGCTTACAGATCCCTGCTCCTGTTTTCAGTCACTTCCTGAGTCTAGACAGATATCAGACTTCCACCCTGAACAGCTTCAGCCATGCGGGTTGGTTTCTGGGCTGGGCCTCGTCTGGTAGGCGGGTTGGCGATGCTCACCGCTCCCTGGCCTGAGCAATGAGCCAGGCAGCTTATGTTTTTTATCTCCCTCTGATTCAGGTGGAAAACCTTCAGACTGAACAAACAAACTAACCTGCTACTGTGTGAAAACCAACTAACCCCTCAGATGCAGGTGGAGCAGCCCAAAATTATACTTATGTATGTTTTTTCAGCAATTAGTCTCAAAAACCTCCAGAATGTAATGTTGCCCTGTTACCTAGCAACCCTAGTCGGTTACCTAGCAACCCCAGCCCATTACCCAGACATGCTCAGAGTAACCAAGTAAAAGTAGCAATACCTCAACATATTTTCACTCAAGTAAGGGTAAAAAAGTATTTGATAAAAAGTCTACTCGAGTACTGAGTAACTGATCGAATTATCAGTCATTTCATGTTTAAAAATTACATCATCAGACGGAATTAGTTATAAAATTAAGTGGAAATTTTGGTAATTTAAGAACAATAATGACAATAATTCATATAAGTAACAAAAAATAACAAAATCAGGCTAAATAAATTATTTCCAAATCAGCTTCTTTCAATATAAAGCTCATGAAACTTTAACAAAAACTGCAGGTGTGTTTCTGTGTCTGGTGGATTTCTGGTTAAAACATGTTTTTCATTCAGTGGGTAGAAAATCCAGAAATTTTACACAGGTAAGAGCAGAGATACTTCATAATAAAATTACTCAAGAAAAAGTAAAAAGTACAGCATAGTAAAAGTATTTTTTATTTTTATTTTTTTCAAAAAAGTAACTCAAGTAAATGTAATTGAGTTAATGTTAGTTACTATCCAACTCTGGTAAGTAGCTACATATTTACATAAGTAATGCTGTGCTTTTTACTTTAGTAAATTTATAATGAAGTATCACTACTCTTGTTTGAGTATCACTACTCAGGAAAGAATAGTGATACTTCATAGTAACTGAGCAACTTCACTGAATGAAAACAAACATGTTTTAACCAGAAATTCACCAAACACACCTGAAGTTTTTGTTAAAGTTTTATAAACTTCATATTAAAAGAAAATTATTTGGATTTTTTTAAAATTATGTTATTTATATGAGTTATTGTCACTTTGGTTGATAAAAACCCAAAACTTTCACATAATTTACATTATATAATCTTATATAATATACGCCTTTTCTCAAAAGTCACATCATTTCAACATAAGACCGAAACCTCAATCACCCATTCATGCAGACATAGAGCTGCAACTAACATTTATTTTAGTAACTGAATATCTGGACAATTAATCGGAACAAAAATAGGAACACACCGCAGATTTTTTACTAACCACTTGATCTGTTTTTTTTATTAGAAATTATGCAAATAAAAATGTATTCAATTAATTTTTTGAGTAGGAAAATAAGCATTTTATGGTAACACTTTATTTGAAGGGGGTTGAGTAAGACTGTCATGACACTGTCATAAACATGTCATAAACACCTGTCATGAACATGAATAAGCCTTCATGAATATTTATGACTGTTGTCATAAAGCGTCATTCGGTAAATTATGACACTTTTAATACAAAGTTGACATTATTCAAAATGTCTTTATTATGACAACTTGACATTAACCAAGAAGTCATTGCTGATATAAATTTGTTATAAAAGTATTACTGATTGCACATTAAGAATTAGGTAACTTTATGTTATTAAAGGTAAAGTTTAAACAGTAATGATTTCTTAGTTAATGTCAAGTTGTCAAAACAAAGACATTTTGAATAATGTCAACTTTGTATTAAAAGTGTCATAATTTACCGAAAGATGCTTTATGACAACAGTCATAAATATTCATGAAGGCTTATTCATGTTCATGACATGTGTTATGTCATGTTTATGACAGTGTCATGACAGTCTTATTCAACCCCCTTCAAATAAAGTGTTACCCATTTTATTGACTAAAGTGCAATAACAGAGCAATCCTTTAGTGAACGATTGGTCATTTGTTGAATAGGATGCATATTTTTAACATTAACATCATCCTTAGAGTCACTCCAATTAATGATTAATTGATTACAAAACTAGTTGATGATTATTTCAAAAAGCGATTAATCCCTATATTAAAGCCCTATATTATACATCTTTAAACAAAAAACAATGCATATGAAAAAATTTTAAAATAAAGAAATTTAATTTTCAGATCTTCTTTGTAATGATACAACATTACACGGAGTCAATAATAATCAGTTAGTATCATCTTTAGGTTATTCACATGAGATTTGTGACTTTTTTCTATTTAATGAATAAAAATGACAACTACTGTGGCTAGTGAGGTCCAAGCTGAAGTTTGTGTGCCTACAGTGCGGCTATTATAGTAAAACCGAACCACAGAGAAGGAAACCTTTAAATAACTTTAAAACAGAGGAAGGTGGGTGGAAAATGTTGAGGGTCGTTTTTAACCAACTTTCAGTTTATTCGCTGCTTCTCAAATCGCGCCTACAAATACTTCAATGGGGAATCAATAGAGAGGGGGCAACACAATGTGAAGTGCGGAGGTGTTGAGCAGCTAAGGAAGTCAAAGATGTCGGAGTGGTGGAGTCATCTGCAGGCGGGAGGCGAAGGAAGCTGCCCTTTTGGTCTAAATGTAAGAAAAATTCTGAAACATCCGGGAAATGTGAGGCTGCACTGTAAAAACACAAAATATTACCAAGTACTTTTGGTCTAGCTTCTACAGCAAATATCTTAGTACCTTTGAAATAAGACAAAACTAACTTATAAGTAACGTTTCAGCTTTCATAAGTAAATAATTCCTTAATATTGATGAAAAAGTACCAGTTCAGCTAACGGATTGTTTCACTGGTTATAAGTGAAAAAATCTGCCACTAGTAGAGCTAAACGTGTTAAAAGCAATATTAGAGGGGATGTATTATTCAAAATTTACTTTTTACTCTTAAAGAAAAAACAAAACAAACCCCCCCCCAGCACGAACGCTTAAATAAACAAACGTCCAGACAGTTTTTGGCAATGAGTTAATGTTTTTTAGTGTCTGGAAAATGAGCCATTTCAAAAGCTCCTAGAATGTAACATTACAGATCAGCAGCCACTGGCGGTTACCTAGCAACACCTGCGGAGCTCACCCGTTACCTAGCAACCCAAGTGGAACTCGGCCAGGTTTGGTCAGCTAGCTTTACCACTACTGGAGTCTCTACTACTGCTTTTAAAAAAAGAGTACGCCTGTACGCGCATCTGTTTGCAGCTATTTTCACATGGTGTAAATGTTGAGTTGGGGGCATGGCCAACAGAAACATATTTAGATTTAAAGCGACAAGACGCCCTAAAACAGCTCAAAATGGTCAGAACTGAGCAGACTAAAAGTTGTGCAAAAAATTTAATTAACATGTCTTGCATAGACCTATTCTAACCGGTTCAAGGAAGCTTAATAGGTCACCTTTAAGGAATCATTTACTTAAAACAAGCTTGCTATCTTGCTGAAAAGTTACTTATGAGTTAGTTTTGTCTGATTTCAAGTGTACCAAGATACTTGCATTAGAAACTAGGTAAGATTTTGTATTTTTGTGGTGTGAACAGAACCGTGGGCATGGAGATGGGGGGGAAACATGAGGTTTGGGAGCAAACTGGAAAAGAGCCAACAGAGAAGACAAGCGCTTGGCTGTGAGCCTCTGAGAAAATGATCAACAAGTGGGAAAAAAGTGTGATAAACACCAGAGTGGGCGTGTAAAGGCTTGCACCTCGAAGAAAACCAGCCCCAGCGCTTCGTCTGCACAACAAAGCACTAAAAAAAAAAAAAAAAAAAAGACGCAGCCCATCGTAGTTCAGATCTAGCAGATAGCAACCTCAAGCTGGGGCCTTGAAGTGAGAAAGACATTTGCAGACCAAGTTCCAGTTTCACACCACTTCCTCAAAACTAGCAGGGTCTCAAAGCTCAAGCTAGGGGTTGTTTTCTGCTGAAAGCTGGGGCAAAAAGCACCATGTATTTCTGATTTCTACATGAAATTCATCCCAACACTGAAAAAACCCCACAAAATTTTACCGAGTATTTTTGGTCTAGTTTCTGCTTCAAATATTTCAGTACATTTGAAAGAAGAAAACTAACTTACAAGCAACTTTTCAGCTGGTTTTAAGTCAGTAGTTCCTTGAAATGAATGAAAAGGTACAAATCCACTGGCAGATTATTTCACTTGTAACATGGGTAAAGTATCTTGTTATAAATGAAATCATCTGCCAGTGGAACTATAACTTTGTTGTCAATAATAAGGAATTATTTACTTAAAACAGGCTCCTATCTTGTTGCAGATTAGTTTTGTTTTATTTCAAGAGTACCAAGACACGTGAACTAAAAACTAGATTATTTTTGCAGTGCATGTGCTTGTAATAAATGTAATAAATGCTTGTAATAAATGTTAGTTTTTATCTTTTCAGCAATTTAAGAAGGGAAAACATTCAGTTAAGTTTGAAAAATTAATCTTTGGTTTGAGTTTTACAGTAAAACCTTTCAGAGAGGCATTTCTGCTTGTGTTTCTAAAGCTCTGCAGCTTTTCTGGACGCGCTTCACTGATGTCTAAATGTTGCACATGTGAGACAGTCCTGAGAGTTTTGCTGTTGCAGAGAGAAACGAGCAGCCGCCCCAGGCCTGAACAGGTTCAGCTTACACTCCTGCAGTGGATTCAGGTCCTGGAGGGACGAAAGTACGTTGAAAAAAGAGAAAACATAACGGGGAAACTCCAGTCTGAAGAGTTACCTTTCAAACGGTAAACGAGGCCATTTTGGTTTTGGTCAGATCTGTATCAATAATCTAAGGAAACACTTTGTTTTAAGCCACATGGGAAAAACTCAAGGCCCGTGGGCCAAATCCGGCCCGCTGTAGCTTTTTATGTGGCCCTCTAGATTCTAGACTAAACACTAAGTGTGCTTAAATATCATGTTTTCAATCAATTCAACGCAGTTTTTACCCATTTACTGCCAAATTATATCAATCAGTACCTCCGGTTTCTTGAGAATTATTGTGGGAATTGACGTAAAATCACCAAATCCCTGCATTTTTTAGTACTAATTGGGAGTTTGTTGCAGATTTTTTCCAAAAATTGATAAAAACTTTCTTACTTGTATTAAACAGCTGCCTCAGCCTTAATTGGTGTCAGATTATAATCCATGATCTATAAAGCGAGTAATAAAAAGTCACATTTATCCTCATAAATAAGGTCAAATATCTCCAAATTACTACCACAAACACTTTGATTTTTAAAAAAAAATCATAAAAAAGGTCAAATATCTCCAAATTACTACCACAAACACTTTAAATTAAAAAAAAAATCATAAAACGTATCACGAAATCCTGGAGGGACCTAAAAGATGTTCAATAATAATACTTAATATTAAGAAATCATTGATATCTTAACAGTTTGTAAACAGGTTTAATCAATACTTTCTGGCACAACCGGCCCTTTAAAAGCCTCCATGATGTTGATTTGGCCCAAAATGAAAATGAGTCTGACAGAAAACAGATTCATCTGAGATCAAGGAGGTGCAGGTCTGGACCACATGCACGCTGATGCACTTTGCCACGCTTAAGCAGAGCTAACGTTTCGCCACATGGGCCGTCATGTGTGGTTTCTCACTGTGTTCGCTGTCAATAGCAGTCAAAGCCTGTAAGCCAATAAATGGAAACACGAGGCGCCCGAGCGATGGCCTGAGAAGAGGAGACGCGTCCTATAAGGAGTTTAAATGTTAGTTAATGAGTCCTTCGCTTAGGGACAGCGCAGACCTGCTGTGTCTCTCAGTGGGACGTGTAGTAAAGATCATCCTTTAAGCTCTCAGATCTGCTCTGAAGGAGCTTCAAGCAGCTCAAACAGCGGACATACAAACCCTGTCCGATGGAATAACAATTTTGGACATGAAGCATTATCTCAGCAGTAAATGTTTGTGTTTTTGCAGCTTCAGCTACATTTTTTTGCACAACATATAGGAAAAATAACATCATCCTAATATCAGTGTTCAACCGTAACATCAAGATCCAGCCCCAGCTTCCTGATGGAGGGTAAAAAGCTGCTCGCCTCCGATGGCTACCGCTGGTTGCCAAGTTGTCAGCATAGCGCGCCAAGTCTTAGATGTTTGCATGAAACATGAAAGAAAAAGGGGCGCAGTGTTTTGTTACTAATTGTCAACATTATGACAACTAGATAAAGTAAGGAAAAAGTTTAATTTTAAAAATAAATATTAAGGGAGAGGAATGTAGGTCAGTTATGCTAGCTTGACTTTGACAACTTTAACATGTAGATGTGCTGCAGAATTCTGTGTTTCGGTTCAGTAAAAAAAACAAAAAAAACGCTGATCCACAAACCAACTCTCTTACATCTCATCAGTAGAACAGGTGTCAGTCAGTTGCTATGGCAACGGGTTTGTGTGTAGAAGGTAAAAACTTGAATTTTGAGGTGTTCTTCAGTGGTTTTTCTGCATTATTTCTCCCTTTTCTGTGGCGCTCTGCACTAGACTAATAAAACCTAAATCTCCAGGTTTCATTTTGCTAACGGTATCGTTATACCGCGGCAGCGCAGCTACGGACGGCATGTAAAAGAGAAGTTTCTTTTGCCCTCCAGCATCGTGCGCACGCGATGTGTCTACATCAAAAGACAGCTTGGAGTGCATTGTTTGTTGGCTGTTACATTTGAAGAGTCAGGAAATCACTAAAGGTCACAGAGAGTGTTGGACGCATCAGAATGATGAGGAACTCTGAATGACAGCCGATGTTGTCACTGCAATATTCCACATTAGCGCCAACGCAATACTGTCTCTGATTGATCTGACTGAGATTTGCTTAATTCTTCCTAAAAACACAAAATAAAACAAAAACATGCTTTTTTATGTCCAATTTAAGCTCCATTAGGAGTTTTTAACTCAGAAAGCTTAGCTGCAAATGTTGCTCTGTTTGTTACTTCTTTAGTGTAAACTACTATGTGAAAAAACTGAAAGCAGGGAACTGATATGTTTTACTTAAACGTGAACTTTTCACAGAAGTCGGTTTGCATTCTCAGGAGAAAGATCTCTAAACATGCAATGGAGGAAAAAGAAAGCTACGCTAAGCTTTGCTGCACTAAAAATTTTGCTAATTATAGGAGCTAGCAGCTGATTATCATCAACCAAACTAGCTTAAGGTCATTTAGTCTGTGAACTTCTCTGTCTTGGTCTGATAAATGGGCGAGTATCTGATATCAGAGACTCATTCAACCCTCCAATCAGGAGCCTGTCTCAAATTTCCACTGAAAAACTCAAATCTTATCAAATACTTTGGTCTAGTTTCTAGTGCAAATACCTCGGTTCACTTGAAATGAGACAAAACTAACTTACAATCAACTTTTGAACTTTTTGAAAGATATAGAAACTTGCTTAATATAATAATAATAATTGTTTATTATTGATTCAAACATACAAATGTCAGTGGCAGATTATTTCACTAATAATATGGGAAAAATGTCTTTTTTAAATTGAAGTAATCTGCCAGTGAAATTAGTACTTTTTAATCAATATTAAGAAATGATTTATTAAAAATAATCTCCGATTTCTTCCTGAGAAGTTACTTATAAGTTAGTACTTTTAAAATAAGGCAGGACTAAAACATTTGCACCAGAATCTAGACCAAAACTACTTAGTAAGATTTTGTTTTTGCAGTGTTCTCTGAGTCCGGATAGTTTCTGTATTTTACATCACAATTTAAGTCTTTAAAGGTTTGTCAGTATTTAATTTCTGGGGACAAACATGTTGAGTAGGTTAAAGAAAGTCAAAATGAGGTAAAGTTTCCATGAAGTAAATCAGACTGGAAGATAAAACCAGAAAAACATTCAAAGTGATGAAAAATAATGGGCTTAACCAGACTTCCTTTGGTTTGAGGTTTTCTCGTGTATGAATAAATCATTTAACTGAATGAGAAATTAAAATGAGATCAATAATTTCCATTCATATGATTGACAGATTTTCTACCAAATGTCTTTAATCAGGTTTTGGTCTCAACAAGCCGATTTTCTGACAGACAATTTTGTTTAGAGAGACTTCAGTATCTATTTTATTTATCATTTTGGTTGTTTTGTTTATTTATTTTGGATATTTAAAATGTCTTCCAGGTATAATGTGATTTATTTGTTAGAAATAAAAGTTTATTGATCTGTAGGCCAGGTAAGCAGGATTGGTGGAATCAACTGACTCTCTCTCTCTTTCGTTACCTAGCAACTCTCTCTCTGACTTTGGTTACCTAGCAACTCTCTCTCTGTCTTTGGTTACCTAGCAACAACCTGTTGAGTAACTGGCAAGAAGCAGTTTAAAGTTCTGCCTCATAACTGCATAAGAATAAAAAAACAATGGAAATTGTGGATAAAACAGCAAAGCTCATGCCAAAAATTTGGAAGTATTTCAGATATTTAAAACAAAAGAACTAATCGATAATTATCGATATTGATTGATATGAAACACTTATATTGTGATACGTTTACCAGCCATATTGTCTGGCTCTACCATTACTGTTATTTTGTGTAAAAATGGTCTCAAAAGAACATCATGATTGTTTATTTCCTGCCAACAATTTCATGTTCTCTAAGTTTTTCCTGTAATTACACACATATGTCAATAAACATGTTTTAAGACATGTTTTCTCAGACTGGAAGTGATATTTATGTTTTGCAGCATCACAGTCCTGGCTTGAATCTTGATAGGAGAATCACTGGATGGAGCTGGAGATTAGGGTGATGGCAATGAGGAATCCAAGCTAAAAGAGTTTCCACTGGTTCCAAAAACCAGTGGAAACATGCAAAAAAGCTGCTGCTCAGTGGTATAACGACGGGCTGACTGCTGAACTACCAAGGTTTTAAAAACGTAAATAAACCGATACTCCTTTAAAATTGTTCAATTATCTTCTTATTTCACTGCATCAACACATACAAACCTCTGGGTTGAGCTAAAGTTTGTCTCAGTAATGGAGTTATTGCTGCTGTTATTTCTTCTTCCTCTCTTTCCAGCAGAAAATGCAGCTGAACCAGAGTTTCATGTTTTAACGTCTTTGCTAAATTCATACTAAAAACACAGAATCTTACCAAGTATTTTGGTCATATTTCCGGTGCAAATGTCTTAATACACTTTAAATAAAATAAAACTAACTTGCAAGTAACTTTTCAGTAAGACATAAGTCAATAATTCCTTATATATAAGTACTAATGCTGGCATATTATTTCAGTTATAACATGAAAAATGCCTTGTTATAAGTGAAATAATCTGCACTTTTTATCAATATTAAGGAATTATTTACTTAAAACAAGCTCCTATAATTTGCTAAAAAGTTACTTGTAAGTTAGTTTTATCTTATTTTAAGTGTAGTAATATATTTCCAGCAGAAACTAGACAAAAACACTTGATAGGATTTTATGATTTTACAGTGTGATCCTGGTTTTGGTGGAAGTTGAAAGGGAGTTCTTCCTTTCCACTGTCCCCACATGCATGCTCAAACAAAATTAACTTTCAAGTACCTTTTTAAGCTTATTTTAAGTAAATAATTCCTTCATATTTATAAAAACCATGAGTTCTACTTGCAGATTATTTCACATGTGGAAAAAGTGTCTTGTTACAAGTGGAACTAGTACTTTTCCATCGATACAAATGAATTATTTTCTTAAAACTACCGTTTATATGTTGCTGAAAAGTTATTTGTAAATTAGTTTTGTCCTATTTCAAGTGTTGCAAGATATTTGAATTAGAAATTAGGCCAAGAAACGATTTTGTGCTTTTACAGTGAACTGCAGAACACTTTTCTGAATTTTCTTTCATGGATCATTCCTGAATTAAACTGTTATGCAACCAGACTGGACTGCATCATCGACTCCACTCTGATTGATTGATATTTCCTGTATAATAAAAATTAATTGAACCTATTATATTTCTCGCTAAATGACATTTATTGCGAACTTAATTGCAATTTATGACCTCACGGGAAGCCTTTGAACCTGCCAGATGTTTGCACTCACCCATCCCTCGAAGGTCTCTCCCGTGTTGGATGTTTTGATCATGTCCTCGAACTGGATGGTGCAGTTGGCCACAAAGTCATCATATCCGAGCGGGGTGTCGTGGAACACCGCCAGCTCGATCTGCTTGCCGTCGTTGACGTTGAGGGAGAACTCCTCGTTGTACGTGGGCATGTTGGTCTTCTGCTTGGTGTGTGTCTGCCCCACCTTGTAGTCGTCCACCTTCACCACTATGTAGGGGTCCAGCGTCTGGGGGGCCTTGTTGAAGATGACGGTGTGGCGCGTTGAGAAGGTGGTCGGTTTGAGGTCCAGCGCCTCGCCGATCCGCAGCTTCAGGTATCCGTTAAACTTCATTTTAAAACCGCTCGAAAGTGTTCAAAAAGCATTTAAAAACAAAAATAGATTTTTATAGGGGTGTCAAAGAAGGAAAAAAAGAAAACCACTTCATGGTGAAAGCCGGTGACTGTTGGGAGTCATCCTGTGCAGGCTGACTGTCAACCTCAGTAAATAGGAAGCTGCAGCGCTGACAGGACCTGCGAGTTCCGCATAATTTCTGACAGACGCAAACGCACACAAGACAAAACACACTGGGTTTACTCTGTCACATGGTCAGGCTTGTAGTTTTTACTCACTCAGAGGCGGGTGGGACTACACCGACCATGATGCATCACTGTTCTGCTGGTCCGAAAGGTGGGGAAATTCACCTGCGGTTTGGTGTTCGGGGAAAGCCTGACCTCTGCTGGACATCAGCTGGAACTACATGGGAATTTCTTACATTTTTACTTTTATCTAACTTTATTTTTATTTTATTTTTAAATATTACGGACAAATTTTTGTCTAGAAATAAAGGCAAAAAATTCTATTACTTTTTTTTTTACATTTTCTTGCTTTTTAACTTTGTTCTTTTTTTCTTGCGCTTGCTTTTTTCTTAATTTTTAAAACTTATTTTCTGATAACTTTTTTCTTACTTAAAAAAAATTCTGTATAGGTGTACAACAAATGATTTGATGATTTTTTTTTTGTTTTTAAATTATATGGACTACATTTTGTCTTAAAATAAAGATATATTTTTCTTTATTTACTTTTTTCTTGTATTTCTTATATTTATCTTTTTATCTATTATTTTTGTTTTGTTTTACTTTTTTACTTTATTATTTATTTATTAATTTCAAACAGGCTGTACAACAAAGAAGCTACTGACTGAATAGAAATGGTTAATTCTTTAATAAACATTTTAATTTATAATAGTAGAAAAAGAAGTAGGAAAAAGTCGACACAATGTTCACATTGATGGTTAAATACAGAGTAAAAGCTGATTTTCTGTTTTTTTTTATTATTACTAATCTGTTTTTCTAAGTGTTGTTTTAACCATGTTGTGTTCTGTGATAGATGGAAAGTTAGTTTTTAACTCTGTTTATGAAAATGTTTCTTTCTGATCTCATTAAAATATTTTAATAAATAATTTTTATTTTTCCTTTCCCTCCTTCTGTCTTCGTAATGTCAAAAAAGCATGCAACATGAAAAGAGCATCAGAATTGTTTTTATTGCAACTTTTACAGGAAATGTCTTATTTGTTGACACTCGTTCCTTTAATTGATTCTTTATGTAGTGCAGAAACACCACATTACCTATAACGTTTGTTCATTTCAGGAGAAATGTGTTTTATTTTATTTTATTGAGATATTTTCCTTTGATGAAAAACCACCGTAACCTGCTGATAATATAACAACGTTGTTGTCCAGTAGGTGGCAGTAAAGGTCCATTAAATGCTGCTTTAGAAGAATTTAGACATTTATTGTATGCAGAAAAACAATTTAAAAAGCTAAATGTTTCTAATCTATTTGAAACAAGATAATTAATGCAAAAATAATGACATTTTGTTTATGTTTTATGATAAGAAAATAATAGGTATAATCATCTCTAAATGATAATCTGATTGAATTATTAATGAGTGTTGAAAAAGGAATCCCATCTAAGATGAATAATGTCTAAGACAGTTAAATGTTGAAGCTGTGATGATTTGAATAAATCTAAGTTTATTTATGAGTTTATTAATCTGACACGTTTGTATTTCAGATTCCTGCGCATCTTTTCTTCAAGGTAGATAAATCTTAAAAAAGAAAACTTTATTTTTATATTTTCCATACTTTTTTTTCCTTCAAACTCCACTCCCTCGTCCCTGACGGCGCCGTGCCTCCTCCATCCATAAACGCCACGATCAAAGTCTCCACTTTATTGGTGTTAGACTTGACCTTTCACCCCTCTCTGCCAAATGCCAGCACCTCCCCTCCCTCTGCTCCAGCTGTTGTGAATAAAGCGCGGGGCTCCCACTTTGTGCACATCCCTTGGATCCAGACTGCCTTGTAAACAACCTCTCAGACGTGACCTTACAGAGGGGCGAAGGTCACCGTGACAAAGATGGCGCATCGCCGCTCGCTTGTGAATAAACTCACCACTATCAAGCAGGGCAGATTATTATAAAAGACTCTTCAAGTTTACGCTATGGTGGAACCAAACATGTTTTTGTTTACAGTGTTTGTGTGTATTATCCGGTCTCCAAAGGAAAGGTCGTAAAAGTTTCCGTCTCTGATTGAAAATGTCCAGCAGAGGGCAGAAAGAGATCGCCTCATTCATCCACTTTCTCCTCACCTTTCACCCTTTCCCTCCTGTTGTTTACGGCAAATTCACAATAAAACTACCTGGGAAAAAAACGACATGTTTTACGTCCTCTCTGTCATGTTGTTTTTCTTCTGTCAGAAGCTTTAGTGGCTTCTTGGCCTTTTTCTCCCTGTCCTGATTCACAGCCAACTCTTTTCAGACTCAAAGTGTGAACAGAAATGCGTTCACGTCTCTCTCTACCAGCTTTAGAAACGGAAAGTTTTGCTTATTCTTATTTACAAAACAACTCAAACTCCATAAGATTGGATGGAGAGCGTCTCTGAGCGTCAGTTTTCTAACAGTTGATTATTCTGACGATTAATCTTCTACAGACTTTTTGAATTGAATATTTAAGCTTTTTTTTTTAGATAAATCAATAATAGAAATAAAATTTATAATTTAATCTCTTTTTAAAATGAGAAATAAATATTTTATTGCCAAAAATGCAGTAAGATAGCATTCATTTAGTGAATCCGAACCAGAAGAAGCTAAAACTATGACACTTGAGTTCTGGGCAAAACATATTTACTGACAAAATTTTAGATTTTGTTTTTATTTTAAACTTAAAACAAAAATATACTTTTTTTCACAGTTTTGGCTAAATTGTTCCTCTGACTGTGTCTTTTTTGAGTCTGTATTCTTCAGTTAGCGATGAATCAATTACTAATTTAGTTGATGTTATTCAATCGATTAATCCAGACATTTTACTCAAGAGTAACGATACTTCATAGTAAAGTTACTCAAGTAAAAGCAGTAATGACTAATTACATTTACTTATATGTTATGCTTGTATGTTTCTTACTGAAATAAACTGATTTGGAAAAAATACATTGCTATTTTTTGTTACTTGTATGAATTATTGTCATTTTTGTCCTTAAAACACCAAAATTTCCATTTAACTTTATATTTTGGTCCATCTGATGATGTAATTTTTAAATATTAAATGCTTGATAACTTCATTAGTTACTCAGTACTTGAGTAGACTTTTTACCAAATATTTTTTCACTCTTACTTGAGTCATTTCTTGGCTACTTTTTACTTTTACTTGAGTAAAATATGTTGAAGTAGTGCTACTTTTTCTTCAATAAATCTTTTGGTGACTATCCACCTGTCAGTAAAAGTAAAACATGCAGCGTTGTAAAAATACTCCTAAAAGTAAATTTTTTCCAAAGATTTAGTCAAGTAAATGTAACTGGGTAAATGTAACGAGCTACGACCCAACTCTGAACACACAGATGTGAAAACATAAAGATTTCATGTCACATCCACACCACAAGCTGCCCACAGTTTGGCTCTCTTTATACAGCTTAATTTCAGCCACCTGCAGAGTTTCCACATTTGGTTCTGGTCCTGTTTATGTCGGTCTAACCCAGAACAGCTCGCATCTCTGGCTGCTGGCCCAGCTGCACCCTGTAGCTGCAGCTAATGAAGCATAGCATTGGTGCCAAGCCAGGGAGTGGACCACAACCCAGATACGGCGAGGCTCGTTCCCATCTCCTTTGACCCCGGTGAGAGAAATCCTGCGGGGCCAGTATACACCCCCAACCTCTGCGCCTGCACCGCCACAAACTCAATTACTCCCATCAGTCACTGGGGCTGAGCTGCAGGGCTTCCCCCACCAACCCACAGTCCAGTTACAAGGCCCCAAACTCCCCTCAGGTGAGGCTGTGGAGGCCTAAACCGAACACACACACACACACACACACACACACACACACACACACGTCTGTGGAGCCCAGACGTGTGTGAAAATGGAGGGACTCCATAAATCACAGCTCAACCTGAATGTACTTTATTCACCAAAGGTGTTTAGTGCCAATTCTGGACCGCAGAAAAACAGGAGTTAAGGTGGGAAACCATTTAAACGAAACCAATCACAACAGATTGGTAAAATATGATATTTTCATAACATACTAGCTGATAGGCCTGATGCAATAAACAATACATCAATTAATCGCATGAGAAATTAAAACAATTGCTCAGTTTCCTTTTGAATTACTTATTGTTTTTCTCTTACTGGATGACAAAAGTCTTCAGGTTGGTGCTTTGGTCTCAAATAGTCCCTTTTTTGAAGGACAATTTTGTTTACAGAAACTTTGTAATTCATTTTATTTGTTGTTTTGATTGTTTATTTTGGATATTTAAAATGTCTTTCCGTTAAAAGTGCTAAATATTCAGAATTTAAAGTTTATTGATCTTTGAGAATGTGTTTTTGCATTATTATGCCATTAGCAATATATTACTTAAAAATTGTCTCAAAACAACAATATTATTGTTTATTGTGATACTTTTGGGGGCAATTTATCGTCCAGCTAAGTCTGATCGTGACAAGCCTACTGGGGGAGACTTTATGGTACTGAGCTAAATTAACTTAAATACAGTATTTTTGTAGGTAGCCTAAGGCTATTTTGTTTAATTTGGAAAATATTTATGTAAGAGAACAAAAATAATTAGTGGAGTTCCTCAAGGTATCATCACTGGATCACTTTTATTCAACTAGGAAAGTTACGTTTCCTATAATACAGTACTATTCAATATCTTTAGCTATTATCTAAAAGCTTGTTAGTTAGTAACTCAAATCACTAAGTGAACACTCTACACTGCAAAAACACAAAATCTTATTAAGTTTCTATTGCAAATGTTTTAGTTCACTTGAAATAAAACAAAACTAACGCTTGAGTAACCTTTTGGCAAGATACAGAAGCTTGTATTAAATCAATATTTCCTTAATATTGGTAAAAAGTACTAGTTCTACTGGCAGATTATTGAGATTATTAAGTATGTGATCGTTTCATATGTGACCGAATCCTAACGGTCAGATCCTAAACGTCATTGATACTCGACAAACGTCACTATCTTGCGTCCTGATACGCGCAGGCGGGAAGAAACGCAACAACAATGGCGAACGATAATGAAGATTAAGTTGTTAATATGAGCACTTCTTCTTCATGGCAGTTGGCCAAACACTGAGCACGCTCTTTATGTGTGACGTTATTGCGCCCTCTACTGCGCATCCGGGACACTTTCTGGCCGTTTGCGGTTCACATTG